AAAAAAAAAAAAAAAAAAAAAAAAAAAAAAAAAAAAAAAAAAAAAATGGATTACGTGAAATACGGTTTTTACTTATGTTTGAATTTGAAAAATTAGTTTTACAGGTTTGATTTTATTTTTTCATATATCATCATATCTAATGATGAATGAAATTTTTTGAAATCGTGAGTTCATAAAGTTTAATATCGATACAAAATTTTTTTTAAAATATTAGTACATGGATTACGGCTATTATCTATAATCGTTGTTTATTATTTTTAATAATCGGATTAATCAGAGGAATTGAGGGCAATTGCGCGGTTTATCTACACTAATGTTTTTTTAAGATTAAGTGTTACTGCCTGGTGCACATTTGCTCTCTATGCCTTACACTGATTTTTTAAAGAATGAATGCCACATACACTGATGGTTATTTAGGTTAAGTGCTACTGCCTGGTATACCCTGCACTGATGTGTTTTTTTCTATGGTTAAGTGCCTTAAGAAAAACCAAAAAATTTAAAAAGTATAAAAAAGAAGAATTTAAACTTTTTAGCGCCAAATATTCGTACAGCAAATTAACATCGCAAATAAAGAGTGGGTGTTTTCATCCAAAGTATATCAGAAACTAACATTGTCTATCTGCTTACACGGGAAATTGCAATTATGCATCAGTCTAAGAAATCTCTTGCCAAATGATTTCAAAAGTATTAAATTGACCTTACTATAGTGGTAATTGTGAATAATAACATGCAAATGTAAGGAATTCTGATAAATTATTTATTTTAACCGACTTACTTGGTTATGACTAATAATAACTGGCCATAGATGATTGGCTATAATAATAACTCGCAGTAGAATAATAATAATTAATTAATAACATGGACTGTAACATAGATAACATTTTTTTACTGTTTTGCCGTGTTGATTAATTACATTTACCGTAACATCGATAATATCTTTTACTCTTTTGCCTTGTAGTTAAATTACATTTATCGTAACATAGATAACATCTTTTATCATTTTGTTTTATAGGGTGATCAGGGAGAACCTGGGCTTCCTGGATCAGTATCTCAAGCTGGAGACCCTGTAAGTTACCTTACTATGAAAAAAAAAATTAAAGCTTTTAGAAAGGAATTTTATTTTAAATCATGTGCCAGAATTATTAAATAACTTAGTCAACTAATAAAGATTCACTAAATTAGTCAAACAATGAATATTTATAGATGTTTGTTTGAAGAAATATTGTGAGAAAAAAAGAGTAAGCTCAATAATTTGAAAATTTTTTTTAAACCATTTAAATATATTTTTAGATATTTTTGAAACTAAATTATTCTTCATGGATTTCAAATTATGAATTAATAACTTTAAAAAAAACATACCAATCGAACAAAAGACAGCTGCTATAAAAATTGTCTCAATTATTCAAATTCGTATCCAACTTCACGTTATTCAGGGAGAAAGAAGCAGAATATTCTTATAAAAATGAAATTAATATTTAAAATACATTTTTTTTTATAATATTAGTTTAAGTTAGTTTTGCAGTCATTTTCTGAATAATGAAAGTTTAAAAGCAATGCATCAAAAATCTGCTTAAAGCATGTTTCATGTCTTCTGAATTGAATAAAACAAAATTGATCGAAACTGAATTAAAAATTAAACCCATGAAATACAAAAAATAAAAACTCGAAACAACTGATTTTAAAATTTCATTCTGCATTGTATAACAATAATGTAGTGGGGAATTTTTTATTCTATTTATATGGAATAAGATAAGTTAAAGAGGATGCATTATAGTATTAAAATACATAAATATTTGTTATTTTATTTTTCCGACTGGTGTTCCTATTTAGAGACAATTTGGCAACTAAAAAATGAAAATTGATATTTTAGGTATGCACAGAAAACAGCACAGATTATGGTTTTTATTGTTAATAAAAAATTTTATTGGTAAAATTAGTTGGATTGAATTTTTAAAAATTAATAACTTGATACAATTCAATTTTAAATAATTATTAATTAATAACTAAATAACTACGGTAGCTTTTGAAATTATTGTTTATTTTTTATAAAGTCATATATATTTGGATAAGTTCTAGCTGATGTTTATAAAATGAGAGATTTAAAATGCAAATCAGTATATTCTGATTCGTATTTTGGTTTTGTTAAGTTTATAATAAGTAAAATTAATTATTATTAATTATTATTTCTTACTTAATTATTACTTCTTAATCTTTTAACTTGCATATATTGATTCAAACTTACAACTATTACTGTCAAATCAATAGTATTTAGACAATTACAGTCCGAGCAAAATTCCTAAATTCCATATAATATAATTTAAGTAGTATAGCTTTAAGTGAAGGCGATTCTTAATAACTCATTACTTAACATTCTTAAAAATCAGCCTCACCGCGGATTGACTATCTATTATAACATAAATCCATTTAATATAAGACTATTAATAATGGCAACAGTTTTATTGCTATATTGTCGTAAAGACACGGTTCCCAGTAGAACACCGAAGTTAAACATCACTGGCTACCGTCAGCAATCAATTGGATGACCACTTTGATCATCCTGCGTAGGGACCGAGGGTGCGCGGTATCGGTCCTCGTTAAACTGTTCTACCGTAAAGTGCTTGACTTCGCTCGCAGATCGACCGGCTACCAAAGCAGGAGAGCCATCTCCTCTGCAGAGAATCAAAATTGTGAAGGCATGTCTTCGGATTATCCTCAGGGATGTTTCCCTAACCGTCGCCAATAGCCCATTGTGCAGCTCTAGTGCGAAGTAAATAAAGTAACTACATGATAATGCAACGCACCAGCTGTATACTCTTAGCTACCGGCACTTGTAGCAAAACTTGCTACTTGCTACTCGTCGAAGAATTTTTAAATACTTTTTTATAATTATAGGGATTGGCAGGACCTCCAGGACCACCTGGTGAAAGTGGAACTGATGGAACCAAGGTATTTCTGCTTTATATTTAATAAAAAAAAAATCCATTTACAAAAACCTCCCAAATCTATCTTAATATAAGTTATACATGAGCTTTGATAATATGTAAAACATTATTTAAAATTTCTTGACATATATTCACTGGTTAAATACTAACTAAATTGCAAATGGATTATAGGGGATAAAAACATTCCCTACAGCAAGTAATTTGAATAGTTTGACTCCTAATAGTGACTTTTATGTATAGGGTGTTCCTTAATTACCACCCTCAATATATATTCCAGTTAAAAATTAAGTAAAAATATGCTTATCTATGATTGCAAATATTATTTCATTAAGGGAAAAAAATCGTAATCAGAATTTAAACTGATTACTATGAAATCAGACTGAATTGCCGAATGAGGCTAAAAGAATTTTCTTAAAATCGCTTTTCACATGCTTTCAGTAATCTCAGACAAACAAAAATGTTTTGATTGTTTTGATCCTACTATCATCGTTAATCGTAACTAACCCACTATAATTGTAAAGGTTTGTTAATGATATTATTTTTCAAAAAATATTAATTTTATAGTCATTATGAGTTTATTTTTTCACTTCATTTTTGAAAATAGTTTGATAATATGTGATAAGGGTGGTGTTTACGGATCCCCAAAATATACCGTTACATTATGAAAATGTTATTATAATTAATTGTAATCAATGCTGTTATTATAAAATTATGTTATTATAATATTTTTAATGTTAAAAGTATGTACTTCACTTGTAATGATGCTTGTTATAAAAATTTTAAGGCAGGAGGAATATCTTTAAAATATGGTTTACGTGATACTAGAGGGTATTTATCTACTAATTAGATTTGCTTATTGTTTTTAAATTGAACATCAATAACAGTTTCGCAAACCTGAAGGATAAAAGACGAAAAAAATATTTAATTTTTATATTTACAAAACTTAAAATCAGAAAAAATTTTAAAATTCAGAAAAATTTAAATGGCCATAATTTTTAAAAAAAAAACTACTTTAAATAATAATAATACATTCTTAAATTATATAAAAATAAAATATCATATTTAAAGAACTAAAAAAAAATGTAACAAATCGATGCCATACAGGAATTAGTTAAGAAGTGTGTAACAAACCATACTTCTTATAATGTTTTAATATAGTAGAAATATTGAGAGAATTAAGCCCCCTGATGGAAATTATTGTTGAGAATTCGATGGCCTCAACTAATTTGTTAATTAGTACCTCACTAATTAGTTCTAAAAGGAGATATATTTTAATTTCATTGCATTCGGTCATTTACAACAAACAACTTTACTTACGGATCATGGGTTAGAGTCCCCTTGCCATCAGACTAACCGTGGGCGAGTTTTGTGGTTTGGCTCCCCATGTAACGCAAATGCGGATTAATTCCACCAAAAAGTTCTCCACGAAGCTAATTTTCTCAATACTTGATTCAATACTTGATTTAGTAGTTCCTTTTTATTCTGGATCAGATTCAAAATTACAAGGCTACGGAGTTGAACATTGGTGGTCGTAAACCCCGAAAATTGGGTCATCTGTTCAAATCGATTATAAAATACAAAATAAAACAACTTTAGTTAATCTAACAAACAAGAAAACAATAATGAAAATATGTATTCATCTCAAAAAATATGATTTTACTCTACTTGACTGAGAGATACTATTTGATTTGAATTGATAGATTGTTTTTAAACTGAGAAAATTGAATAATATATCTTTTTTACGATAAATAAACATATTTTTAAAACCAGGAAACGGTCCGATAAATAACATCAAATGTTACTCAATATATTTGTTCTTAATTTACCCCCAAGATTCATTTTGCTTTAACTAATTCATTTTTATTATACAGGGTGAACCTGGATTGCCTGGAGCACCCGGTGCACCTGGAGTAATGGGATTGCCTGTAAGACACATTATATTATTATTTGTGGTTATTAATTATTTTAGTATAAATAAAAATTTTAAAATAAAATTTAGTATTAAATAAAAATAAAAATTATGTAAGAACCTTAAGCGGCAATGTTGTTAATTATTTTCTGCTTATTTATTTTATTTTCGATGTGTTTACAGGGTTCACAAGGTCCTCCTGGGTTTCAAGGAACTGAAGGTGCTAGGGTAAGTATTAGAGATATATTTATTTAAAAAAGTTTTTCACAATCTTCAGATTAGATTGATTTATTTTCTTACTTTATTTTAGGGACCAAAGGGGTTAAAAGGTGACGCAGGACCTATAGGACCAGATGGATTACAAGTATGCTTAATTTTTAAAATTTTGGCTTATTATACACTGTGAAAAAAAGTCCGATCAGAAATAACAAAATATGGTAAAATTTACCATGTTTCTCGCCTTAAAGAAAAACCACATCTGTAATTTGTGATTTGATAATGACTTTTGGTAAAATTAGGTTTTATAATAAGTGATAAAATTTGGTTGATGTTATAAAATATGGCAATTTTATCATGATGTTTTAGAACATGGTATGAACACAATTTATTTGTTTGAATTTACTTTTCAGAATAGTGTTTTTTACTAAATGTGTATTAATAAAAATTATAATTTTCAAAACTAGAATTTTTTGCCCGAACTGCACATAGTAAAATAATGGACCAGAGATAAAACGGGTTTTAAACTCGTATCTGAGGCTATACACAAAAGCCACAGACACAAAGTCTGAGGCCGTCTGCTGTTATGGAAACATGATTAACGCATTTCAGGGAGGGTAGCTTCTCTTCACACTACGGCTAACTCAGTAGATCGAAGAAAAAGATTCTCTTTCTCTCAAAGAATCATACCAAAACCTATCCTGAACAATGATCCCACACCCCTACTTAAAATAATTATACCTAGTTGCATAGTCACCACCACGGGTCCATACAAATGGATAGGGGAGTTATTACTTTAGTCAAACTATACGCTGACTCTATACGAGTGAACACTTCTTCAAAGCGAGTTTGTCTTAAAATTTTGAATTTAATTGGGGGTAAATTTAATAATTATTTTATGCTAAAAAGTCTTCATTCACTGAAATTCAATGTGGTTCGTGGATAACTTTAAGCATCTTCCTTGTCAGTGAAACTCTTTAACTTCCATATTTTTTATGAAAATTGTTTGGGTTTCTCATCGATTTTTCTTAAAACTCAAAAGTAATAATGGAGAAAAACGGAAAATAGATTCTACTTTATTTTTATGCATTAATATAGGTAAATACCAAAAATTGACTGTTTCTTATGTTATTACAACTCTTTGAACTATTTTTTTCTACAAAAGTATTAATTAGAAATTCTATTTTTTTAAGGGACCTACTGGACCAATTGGCCCGCAAGGATTGCCTGGAGAACCTGGACCAAAAGTGCGTGATTAATTTGAATTTCNTATTTTTATACTAGTTATGGGTTAGGTTAGTTAACTCTATTATGGTTATTTAACTCGTGTTAGTTAATCCTTTGAAAAAATAAACTCAGAAATTCTTGATTAATTCTAATGAGTTAACTCAAGAGAATCGCTAGTGACTTCGCACAAGAACTATTAATGTAAAATCAATAAACAAATTATACACTCTAAAAACAAATATCTTTTTTACAGTCGGGAAAATTGTTCCAACCAGCAAGCCTTTTTAAAAAGCGCTTGCCAGTCCAAATGCTTTTTCTGAAGATAATTTGAGTAAGTGAAAAAGTGATTTCTTTATCTGGCTCACCTTTGGAACCTGAGAGAAACCTTAGGCGCAGAAACTACAATTTTGAAATTGTACTATAAAATAAAGGAAATTTTATTTTACAATTAAAAGTATACATATATATTAGAGATAGGTGTAAGATATTACAGAAAAAAATTCAGCCGCACAGACTTAATCAGAAAATTTGGAAAAATCCTCAAAGCAAAGCCACCCTTGGCTCCCCACCTTAAGTTTTAATTTATTAAGTTGTTTCACTTTAGTAAGTTATTAAATATGTCGAAATGTATTTTGTTTTCTATGTGTGTGATTTCCCTTCATCCAGTTAATCAATTTTTCAAATTAATATTTTCTCTTGAATATTCTCGCGCCACCCCTCTAGTATGCTCGCGCCCCCCTAGGGGGGCGCGCCCCACAGGTTGAGAATCGCTGGATTAATAGAATGGTTAGGCACTACGATTCTTTTTTCAAAAAATAGAATGACGAAATAATTCTTTAATTTCTACGAAATTCATTTTCTCGAAGAAGTGACTATTGAAATTTTGTCATTTTGACGAAAACTTCGCTCGAATCATAAACCAGGAAACAGTTTCGTCAAAAGCGAAAACAATTTCGTAAAACTTTAGTGTTAATGTTCTTAGTGTTCTTTTATTGTTTTCTTTTCCTTTAAAACCATTGTTGTTTCAGGGAGATCATGGCAACTCGGGTCTAAGAGGACCTGAAGGACCTCGGGGACTGACAGGACCAACGGTAAAATATCTTTACATATTTTTATACAACATATTTCTTTTTCTTTTTTGGCAAGGCTTTTTTATCTTAATACTAAAATACGATTTTATTCAAATTAGGGACCTTCTGGTGAAGTAGGACCTCCAGGTCCACCAGGCTTACCCGGTTTAACAGGAGCTGCAGGACCTGCGGTAAATACAATATAGATATATATATATTATTTGCCTGTGAGAAAAAATTAGTTTGATGTTAAAAAAGCTACTTCATTAAGACTTACAAAAATATCAAATATCACCATAAGCTGTTAATTTTATTTAATAAATGCGATAATTTATTGATCATTTTTAAATTAATAAAAATATACTTTAATTTTAGGGACCACCAGGACCACCGGGACCTCCTGGACCTATGGTAAGAAACTGAAGAAAAAGTAACTTTTTATCTCTCCAATTAAAGATTTGTTAACCGTTAAAAGTATTTATTACTGAGTAATTTAGAGCATTTTTGAAAGTAATAAGTCTATAAATAAGTAAATATGTTAAAAAATGAAACTTCTTAATTTTTAGTTAATTTTTTTTTCAAAATCTGTAAGTCTTTTGCACTTTTTGCAATCGATTTCTACTACTATTTTCTTACTTAATGCCGTAGGGAAAAATATTTTTGTACAGTTTCATGATTAAGTAATAAGCTTTCTAAAACAAAATAGAGGTAAAGATCTTACGAATTTTACTACAATCAATAATTTATAAAGATCATTACAACAATAGATTTATTACTTTTTAATTGCTTCGAAAACTACAGTGAAGGTTACTTAAAAGTAAGTATTGTTGTCTTAAAATATCTGAGCTGCTATTCATCAGCAAAGAATTACCAAATTGGGTTAGTAAAAATAAGTAAGTTATAATTATTTATTGTCATCTAAGCGAATCACAGTTTATATCTTATCCAACTTAATTAACTAAGGTAAGTTTTCAATTAAGATGAATTTATTGATCTGATATTTAAAATAATGTGAAATAAATGAATTTTTTTTTTTGGTGTTGGGATTGTACCAACAAAAATTATATCCTAAAATCAGCCTAGAATTATTTATATTCATGAAAAAATCCTATAAGTAAATTAAATTTTAATACCCTATTTGCATGAAAAACTATGTGCATATTTTCATCATTTTTATTGTGTAAAGTGTTAAAAAATTTCAAACAAAATTTTGAAAACGATAATATAAATAAAAAATGAATAATTGTAAAAAAAAAATACATAGCGATATTAAGTAAAATTATTAAATCAATACATTAATTTTGCTGTAAATCAAAAATTTAAATCAAGGAGGAAATAATTTTTAAGAATGTTTAGTTAAAGCATAAAAATTTAGGTCTACCTGAACTTTATAAAAAATATATTTCATTAAATTAAATTATTATAGCAATTATTATAGCTCATTTGAATTAAATGAAAATTATTTTTCATCGTCTTATTTAATTTCAATTTGTTATTTTTATTTTGTTTATTAACAATGTAGTTTATTGTTACAAACATCATTCCATTAATTATTATTTTAATTTTATTTTCATGTATATTTAATGCTTAAATTTCAATAATTTTGTCATTCAATAACTTATATACTTTAACCCAAATTTAATTTAATTATAAATTTCACTCTAAAAATGTGCCTATCTTATTATAAAAATAAATTTATCGTTTGAATTTCGCGATGAGCTCCCGAATCGAACAAATTTTCAAGACATGGTATTTAAAAAAAAAGCTAAATATAACTGTAAAACACGATTTCAATCAGTTTCTTTGCACTTATTTTAAAAATAAATGTTTTAACTAAAAAAAAATTTTAGTTTTCTCTATTTTTAATATTTTTAAGAATTGAAAAAAATAAATTGTTAAAAGGTAAAACACATTTTTACTATTTTATTACTGTAACCATTGCATTTTTAAGCAGTATTTTTTAATGCCAATAAATATGCGCATTCATAATAAATTTTTAATTATCATATTTATCTAAATGGCTTAAACTTATAATATTTTTTAATTTTTCTTACGAATAAATCAATTGATCAATGCTGGTTTTTGCAGAGTGGGATCGAAATTTCTGATTTCAGAGCTGTTGATAATTTGCCAGAATTAAGGGGGCCAAGAGTAAGTAGAAATTTCTTTATAAACTTCTATACTCTTCTAAACATTTTTATCCGTTCATCCTTTTTTTGTCTTTAATCTCAGTGCAAACTGAAATTTCTTCCTGCTCGTCAAAATTATTGCATTAGTTACACTAGCTAAACAAAATTCTTTAAAAAAACATACTAATATTCTATAAATTTTTTTTATAAATTTTTAAGCTTTAGATTCGTTACTAAATCATTATTATCACTAGTGGTATTTAAAGTATGTAACAATTACGCAAATTATATGCAAAAATTACAACACAAATTTGATTAATAAATATCATTAATTATTATTTCTAAAATTTCCTGTGTTGAATTCTTTTGTTTTCTGATTTTAATGTGGTTTAATTTTACTGAAAGTTACACAGGAATAAGTATTAAAATGCTGGCTTATGTTACAATTTAAAATATTTCATTGCTAGGTAACGTTCAGTGAGCAGCGAACGTGTTCTAGTCACTGACCGTGAGAATCAAAATACGTTTATGCCTGTAAAGCTATTATGATCATAAGTATACAGGTCTGCCCGTTACTTTTTCTCCATAAAATCTATGAACATTGACTATAAATTAACGTTAAGCTCGTAAGAGTTCAGGTCAAGTCGTTGGACAATTTGTGCGTCGAATAAAGATCAACCCTGAAAAGCCGTGATAGAGTGTAGTGCTGCCATCTGTCGAGGATAGAGAGAATCGAGTGTTAGTTAGCACTGATGTAGACATAATACGGGGTTTGAACACGGGATCTTTGTGACCGTTGTCTGATACTGGAACTATTATGGAAAAGGGAATCAATCATTTTTGATCTAATGATCCGATTTTCGCGCAATAGGACAGAATCTTAATAGTTCGAGGAGGTGACCTAAAACATGCTAATTAGTGCAAATGGTGTTTTAAGTTACGAAATAATAATACACAAGAACCTACTTTCTCTGAATAAACATTTTTTTTTTAGACTGATTTAGATTTCTGACCTTCTAAATCAAAGTATTTTCAATCTGATTAATAGAGTTCGAATAGTTTGGTTAGGATAGCGGCTGAAAGTTTGGATCTCTTGCATACATATCTAAAACTTTTTAACGAATTGAAATTTTTCAAACTAAATTATAAAACTCGCTTATCCAAAGACAATTTCATCAACAAAAAAAATTTTTTATTAGGTATTTATTACTTTTTACTGATTAGTTAATAATGGTCGAAAAATTTTGAATTGATATTTATTCGTACAAAAATTGGTTGTTTTTAATTTTATATAACTAGTTTCTTATCGTTTTAGGGTTACAAAGGTATAATGGGTCCATCTGGTATGGTAAGTTATTTATAATAATCATAAACAAAGTACTATATAAAGCACTCTGAATTTTACATTTAAGTTAGAACAAAACATTTTAAAATTTGTTTAGCTGTGTTTTGTTTACAATATGTTATGTAAAAATTAAGATACAAATGCAAAATTTATTAAAAGAAATCTTTGCTGGACAAATAATTACGCATGTTGCATATAATATTTACAGAACGATTCAGGCGAGGTCTAAGGTTGTTTAAGTGCAATTTATCTGTGTTATTAGAAAATATCATTATCGTTATGGAGCTAAAATAAATTGAAGATTTTTAAATTTTACGAGCCCTCAAAGTCCTCCAAGAAGATGAATTACGTGTTTAAACACAAAACATTTCAAACCGCTTTGCCACTACAATTTCTTGGAAAAATCAAGTATATTTCTGAAATTTATGCTTGTTAAAAAAAAGATATCTCAAGCTATAATTTGACACCTTGGAAAATATTATACGATGATGTATAAGAAATGCTTGAAATTTAAGACATTAGAGAGTATGTTCTGTCAAAAACTTTTTGATGTTTTAATAGAGATTTTTATTGAACATGGAGAGCTAATTTAAAGAGATCGGCAGCTTTATATTAGTCTCATGTATCAATATAGGAACACTATTTCATTAAAAAAAATCTTTTAAAGAATTAAAATAAAATAATTTTTTAATTTTTTTTCCTCAGTTTTATGCATTTTAAAATATCCTTGTTTTTAAGAAAGAGCTACAAACAATGATATCAATTAAGGTTGTGACGTTTATTTTGAACACATAACCTTTATTATTGAAATTGCTATTTAAATTATTATTATAATGACCACAGCATTATGCATGTTGAAAACTATTTTAGAAAGAATATTTTCAGAGAGAAAAATTTCTCAAAAACCTAAATTGTTGCCTGTAATATCCATTTTTGTTTACAGAAATCTCAGAAGTATACTTGATTTTGCTTAGAAATTTAACTACACACAGCAAAGATGCATGGCCAGAATTGCCAGAATATATTTAAATTTTTTTATGTTTCTGGCTCAATGTGGACACCAAAAAGCTAGGTAATTTTTATGCAAACGATTTGGTAATAATTTTGATAAATTAACAATAAAATATTGTTTTATAATCTGTGATAAAATTTGGCAAATATGGTAGGATTTGGTAATTTTATCATGATATCAGAGAGCAAGACACAAAAATCATTTGTTCAGTTGAATTTACTTTTCAGTTTCGTATTTTTTAATACATGTGGTAATAATGAAAACCAGAATTCCCGGTAAACCGTTACTGAATGAATGAAAAATTACCAAATGAATGTCTTAAATACCGTACTTTTTAAAGCTGAATTTACCAGAAATGTCATTGTCACACAGGTCGGTACTTTTACCAAAATTGTTCTCCTTGTAGCTAGAAATATTTTGTATTTGAATCTGCCATTCAATTCTTTAAAGGGTCGCGTTAAAAAAAATTTTCAGATAAAATGAACAATATTTTAAAGACAAGTAGCTACTCTATCTTATACTCTATCTGATTATAATAAACACCTCTTTATATAATAAAGGAAAACATTAATCATAAAATAAGAATTCACAATACTTATCTCTGAAAGCAATTTTTTACAATCTGGGCGAAGATTAATCGCTCAATTTATTAAAGTTCGTATCTAGATAAAAGTACTTATACCCGCTTATTACCAGCTTACAATAAGCAAAAGGGGAACTTTGAGATATTTTTGCTGATACTTCATTTACGGATTAGACAATTATTTCAATCATTTTGTTTATCTAGTATAGGCGTGGCTCCTTTTTTACTTTTAAATACAAATTACCAAGTTGTTCTCCGTTTTTGAAAGCATAAAAAAAGTTGCTTCATGACTGCACACGAGAATGATCAAATGTAATGTTTTCTTTTCATAAATTTCTGAAAATTTATTTAGTGAACAATCTTGGTTTTTATGTATTTGATCTTACGAGTACTGATACTGAAAAAGTTTTGTCTCTTTGCTGAATTCTCGAAAACTAATGCTCCTAAGTTTATTAAAATGTCCTTAAAAATAGTTTAGTTGAAGAAAGAGTTTCTTCAACTAAATTCTTCAAAAATAAGCATAGAAAAAAATTCTGGTTAAATTACCGTGCTGTATAATATTGATATTTCTAATAAAAAAACAATACATTTTTAGTGAATAAAACCAATTATACGGTATTTAAACCATATACTTTGAATTTTTCTGTTCATATGATAACGGTTTACATGGAATTCTGGTTTTCAAAATTATAATTCTTATTAGCACACATTTGGTAAAAAATACAAAACTGAAAGTAAATTTAAACAGAATAAATGGTTTTTATGCTATGCTCTAAGATATCACAAAATTATCAAGCTTTGTACCGTTTATCAAATTTTATTACATATTATGAAAATATATTTAATTTATAATTTTACCAAAATCATTGCCAAAGCAATTCGGCAAAAAATTTCGAGCTTTTTGGTGTTCCCATAGAGATAAATTTTACCAAATTCTTGTAGTTTTGATCACACTTTTTTTCTCAGTGTTTAAATTGAATCAAATATAATTTATAATTTATTTATAAAAAAGTAATTACATATTAGAATGATCAAATTTATTTTTTACATTGATTAAAGTTTTACAAAAAAATAATTTTTGAAACATTTAACTACTCTAACTCTTCAGAAAGACTCCTAAACTCATTAAAATGTCCATTAGCACTTTTTCTATTACTAGTCCATTAGCATAAGTTCTTTAAATACGTAAATTAAACCAAGTTTAATTTAAAATGTATTCTTGAGAATGTGGAAATAATTGTAATTTTTATTTATGAGTTTAAAAAAATATTATTTATGAAAATTCAAATCAAAATTATCATCATTTTTATCATCAAAATTATTGTTATTCATAAATGATCCTTTGTTTTTGTTGTATTTAACCATTTGAAGTCTGAGGTTTAAAACAATTAACTTCTCTTAACTCTTTCGAAAGATATTTTCCTAAACTCATTCAAATGTCCATTAGAGCTTTTTTTCTCTGAGTTCTTCAAATATGTAAACTAAACCCAATTAAATTTTTAAAAAAAAATTCATGAAAAATGATTTTGTACGGAAAGGGTCAAGAATTTATGATAAAAAATTATTATTTATGAAAAATTAAATCAAACTTATTAAAACTATTAGACTCAAAATTATTATTAAAATTATTATTATTTATGAATGATCCTTTGTTTTTGTTGTATTTAAACGTGATTCGTAAAAGTCTAATTTGTAAAAAAGTTAACTACTCAAAGTCTACAGAAAGTTAGTTTCCTAACTGATTCAAATGTTCATTATCACTTTCTTTCTCTAAGTTCTTTATATATGTAAATCGAACTAAGTTTAATTTAATTTTTTTTAATGAACAACAATTTCATACTGAAAGGATCTAATAAGTTATTATTTACATTGGATACATTTCAAACATTTTTTTATCAAATTATTATTTCTGTCGTATAAATATTTGATATTTTGAAGTGTGATTTGTGAAACACACTTCAATTCATCAAATCAACAAACAGTTTTCCATTCTTGCTATATCTTCAGAAAATAATCTTCCTAAATTCACTGAAATGTCTATGGGCCCTTTTATCCGCAAAGTTCTTCAAATATGTAAACTGAAATAAGTTTAATTTAAAGTTTCTTTATAAGAAAGATTTACTATGAGAATGGTTAGAACTATTATTTTTCCTTGTTAAATTTAAAAAAAAGTTATTTTTCAAATGAATCTTTGATTTTATTGTATTTATACTTGATGCTTAAAGGTCTGATTTGTAAAGTAATTTCCAACATTTTAATATTCTTCTAAAACTGTTGTTCTTATGCTCATTTAATATATATTAGTGCTTTCTTCCACTAAGTTCTTTAAATATGCAAATTAAATAAGCATGATTTAAATTTTCTAGCAAGGGGAACGTGGTCAACCAGGAGATAAAGGACCCCCTGGAACTCCGGGAAATAGAGGGATGCCAGGTCCATCAGGTGCACCGGGAGCTTCTGGTCATCCAGGAAACAGAGGCCCACCAGGAATGCCTGGATTACCTGGACCACCGGTAAAACCATTTTTTTAATGGAAAACACATTAATTTAAATCTTTGAGACATTGTAATATGTTATATTAAATAAAAAAGCGAATAACCTACAATAACTTTTTATAAAGGTATGGATTTTCACACTATTTTTTTAGTACCGGCACTTTCGATGCATCATCCGTAAAAGCCCTTTTAGCGTAAAATCCATTTTTACGGTAAAATTTTGTAACGTAATTTTTACAGAAATTTAATTACAGTGATTCAGTAATTTTATAGTAAATACTACTGTAATAATATATTGCATCCCATTATTCGTTTAGTAAAATTTTTTAGTAAAAATAGATTTTTTCGGTAAAAAAAAGCCGACAGCGTGAGTGTCGGTACTTTTTACCGTAATTTGATTCGGAATTTATTGCAGCGGAGAAAGGGCTAAATATAGAGAACTTTAATATAGCATTTTGTACGTTCGTGTGTGTATAATCCGTGCACTTTGGTGCCGGTAGTTTTAACCGGAACTACTTATATTGTATTATTAAGTGACGAAATCAGGCAGGGAAAATCATTTCTTTGAACAAAACTACCTTTTTACCGGCAAATTCGGTTTCCAAACAGTAAAAATCGGTGAAGTAATCGCCACTTGAGTATGTAAACCCAATAGTATAATTCATTACACTGGTTTAAAGTCGAGATTGCTTATTTTTGTATTTTCTTCATTCATATTGAATTAATTTCTTTAAAAAAGTTTTAACACTCATTTATAAAACTTAAATACGCGTAAAAGTTTAGCACAGAAATTAATTTTAATGCTCATTTTTTATGAACTTACTTCTTGGTGTTTGAAAAAAATGGGGGAATTTTGAAGAGCAAAAAACGTACTATCCTCGCAAGTTTTAATAGTAAAATCTAAAGTTTCAATAAATTCCAGTTTAAAAAGGAAAAATAATGTATAAAGTTGCACTTAAAATTGACTCTTGGTACGTGAAAATTCAATCTTTAGATCACGAAGAATTTTGGATTTGCCTTTTTATTTTTTTAACTTATTGTGATAAATTATTGTTTTGAAATTTGTGAATATTTTAAAAAAGTTATGAGTGTTTCACTTTTTTTCTTTCTTTTTTTTTGTATATAGGGACGAGGTTTCAGCGAGGAAGAGATGAGAGATATTTGTGCTTCGGTACTAAGAGGTAAAATGAATATACATTTGACTCGTAAAGTTTACTTATTCTAGAAATATATTCTTACCCAGATAGCAAAATAAGATTCATTTTAGCTTAGCAAAAATCTTTTAATGTAAACCTAAAAGGATTTGTTATGTTGTCTACGTGTAAACCTTCTAACCTTAAAACGAGATATGTTGCAATCTACTCTATTCTACGCACATTACCCTAATCCAAAACCTTGAAAAACAACCTTCTATGTAAAAGCCTTAAATCGAGGTTGGCTTAATGTTTTCAAGCGTNACATTAAAACTGCTGAAACAACATGAGAATTGTTAAAAAGAAAAAAAAAAAGGAAAAATAGACGACGCGACAAAAGCTTGTTTAATAAGTCGCTAGCCGACCGGCCTGTGTAGGGGGCAGGGAACTGTCCTTGCATCAGAAAGGTCCTGGGTTCGAATCCCGGGAAAGGCATGGATGTTTCTTTCTCTCTCTGTGTGTGTTCTGTGTCCTTTCTCCTTTGTGTGTGAATGTGACCCGCCCTATAAACGGGTTGTGGTTGCGTGAATGGCGTGGCTGAAGTTGAATACCTGGCCATAGATGGCGCCACTGGAAAAAAGCAGAAACAATCACAACCCCCACTGCCTAAGCAGGCATACGACAAAAAAGAAAAAAATCTATAAAGTTGTACTTAAATTTGACCCTTTGTACGTAAAAATTCAATCTTTAGATCACGAATAATTTGAGATTTGCCTTTTTTTTTAACTCATTGTGATGAATTATTATTTTGAAATTTGTGAACATTTTAAAAAAGTTATGAGTGTTTTATTTTTTTTCTTTCTTTCTTTTGTATATAGGGGCGAGGTTTTAGCGAGGAAGAGATGAGAGATATTTGTGCTTCGGTACTAAGAGGTAAAATCAATATGCGTTTGACTCATAAAGTTTACTTATTCTAGCAATATATTCTTACCCAGATTGCAAAATAAGGTTTATTTTAACTTAGCAAAAACCTTTTAATGTGAACCTAAAACGTTTTGTTATGCTGTTACGTGTAAACCTTCTAACCTTAAAACGAGATATGTTGCAATCTACTCTATTCTACGAACATATCCCTAATCCAAAACCTTGAAAAACAACCTTCTACGTAAAAGCCTTAAATCGAGGTTGGCTTAATGTTTTCAATCGTGAAAAATTCTTTTAATAAAGCTAGTCTCAAGGTGAAAATAATCTTAAATCAAGATAATTATAAGGTTTCTTTTCGCAAAGTCTTGCATGCTCAATTAAAATTTGCCTTGTCCTGAAATTTTAATGGACAATATGACGTCATCTAAATGACGTCATCTAAATCGTCCTTATGGACCTAAGTGACCAGTTTATATAAATGACTGTACTTTTTAACCCTTTGACGGTCAGGGAAATGAGCAGTTTTCGTTTCATAAATTCGCACAGTATTACGTGCAAACAGTAGTCGAAAGTGGCATCTGTTTTCTACCTCCGTTCTTCCGAAAATGTCACTCTTCTCTGGCGATGCCAACTGCTCCGTCTTCTGGAATTGTTATAATAAAGTGGTAGCAAATTATGTAGTAAATTTCGTTGGAGAAGGACAGTTATATGCCTACTTTTTAATAGAGTAACCAGTAGATTGTTGCTTTAACGGTGCATTTTATTTGTTACTTATAGTTTTTGATATTTAGTGGTGAAAAAATTACTTAAAAGGAGAAATGCTAAACTGAAAGTAACTTGACTTTCGCCATCACTAGGAAATGCTATTTTACAAAGCGGGGCAAGTTGGCATTTCTGGATGCGGTAGATAGCTCGCCTCACGTGTTTTAAAAATTTCTAAAGTATTCGTAGTACATATAAATAACAGTTTTCACGTACTTTTCGTTCTTAACATAGTCAATGCAGAATAATAATGGCGAACGAGCTCAGCTCATCAGCACGCATCGGGGAAAAATTTCACTTCGCGAGTTGTGCTCGTTACTAACCATTACGGTCAAAATCTTGCTCCCGAGCGGAACTCGTTTGCGCGCATTATGAGGCACAATTCGATTGCGAGCTGAACTCGTTCATAACCGTCAAAGGGTTAAAAGAAGCGTTAAAAATAATTTTTAATTCTTTTAGGATGAAAGGCAAACTGCAATATTTTGCTTTATTAAAAAAAAGGCTTTTGGTACAAACATTTTCTTGAAAATAAAAAGAAAATTCCGGGTTGAAAGAAAGTTCACAAGGTTGCCTGCTTCCTGGGTATGTGGGCAGCATTTCCCTTACTTTAAATTTACTAGAAAATAATGCATGCTAGAACTTACATGCATTTCATAGATCCATAAAAGAAAAACCCTCAATTCTAAGTTTTTTTTAAAACATTTGTGCAAATTTTCAAGTTTTATATTTTATTACTGGATCAAAAAGTTTATGTTTTTGCTGCATATGTGGATTGTTTTTGCATTTTATTTTATATTTTATAACCGTTGTTGAACAGACGACAAAATTTTGGGTTTACGGCTACTAATGTTCAACTCCGTAGCCTTGTAATTTTGAACCCAATACAGAAGTCAAGGGAACTCCTGGATCAATTATTGGGAGAAATTTGCCTTTGAGGATTATTTTATGATGGAACTAACCCGCATATGTGTTACATGAAGTAGAAAACCACGAAAACCTCCCATAGTTAGACTGATGAGAAAGGGACTCTAACCCATGATCTGTCTACCGCTGAGAATATTTTACATCAGCACTGTGGTTGGTGCTTGTTGTTTCATTTGTTGAGATACAAAAGTTGATGCATTTATGGGGAAACTTTGCAGCTAACTTTGAAACTTATTAAGGAGAAAACCTTAGCTTTCTCAGCCAAATGCAAAGAAAAAAGCATGTTTTGATTAATTGATATTTCCTATTTTTTTGCAGTTTTGGGATATTCGGAGATAGTATGTTCTTTGAGAAAAAAGTAAGATTAAAACTACTAGAATCTCGTTAAATTTGCCGAGCTTCTGGCTTTATGGGAATTTTTACCGGCAATTTACTCGGCAATTTTTACCGAGGTGCTTTGACAATGACTTCGATATAATTAACAATAAAATATAGTTTTATAGTACGTGATAAAATCTGGTAATTTCATCATGATACCTTTGAGCATGGGATAAAAATCATTTATTCGGTTAAATTTACTTATCAGTTTTGTATTTTTCACGGAATGTGTGGTAATAGGAATTATAATTTTAACACAAGAATTCTCGGCAAACCATTAAAATATAAATGACAAAACTACTAAGTAAATAATTTAAATACCGCATATTTTGGTTTTATTAACCATTTTCTTTTATTGCTAGAAATGCCATTACTATACAGTACAGCAATTTTACCAGAACTCTTTTCTCTGTGTATTAATCTTGCATGGATACAAACAATATGGTTTCGAATAGCTTATATCATGCTTTTTCAGAGCATGTTAAAAGTTCCAGTTTCAGCTATATGTTCAAAATATTTTAATACAAATGCAAAAGTTGTAAATAATGTTCCCATAGGAATTAAATTTTGATGTGAGCTGACTTTCTAAATTTACGTATCTGTTTTGATCTTTTTTAGTAAATTAAATGTTTTCACAATTTATGCAGCTGGATTGAAAGTTTAAGTATTTTAGCACTAGTTTTCAAAAAAAGCATTAAATCAGCTGGATTTGATTTAAAATAAAACTATATCAATTTGAGTCTACTTATCAAAACACAAGTCAGTATATTTGACTGTTTTGGAACTAATTGTATTCCATGATTGTGTAGATCATATGTTCCATAGCGTACATTTCAGAGTACGTGATTTAGTTCAAAAATTTTGCTGATCATATATATACTTAATTTCTTTAATTTTATCACTATAAAAAAGGGTTTCTCACAATTGAGCGAAATAGTGTCAAACTAGCTCTGAAACAAATATAGTAGAATTGATAATACTCATGTAATCATTATTAAGCATGTCTTACTGACCATGTATTCAGTATTGAGCATTTTGAGCATGTTACCATACGCAATATACTCAATATCCTGGCAGATGTTGGTCAAAGAATTCCCTTTCATCTGCTAAAGTATTATCCTTCTTGCCTGAACGACTTGTCGCTTACATGGCAAAAGTAAAGGGAAAATATGGGTACATCTTAGGTGAAAAAAAAATTACTTATGTCTGTAAGTTATTAACCAATTTTGTTTTTGTCAATGTAAGAATGTCATTATATTATATATTCAATATTTTTTCTACATAGAGAATAATAAACTAAAAAACAAATTTGAGACATTTATTTAAGGTGGATCGAAAAGCGAAGTGCGTTAAATCTTTTTCATTTTCTGATCAATCAATTCAATTATTTGTCAAGTTAATCTTTGTGCGATAATTCTCGAAGTGCGTTAAATCTTCAATTGTGTGGATAAGTTTCTAACTATCATCATTAAGATTATCATTTATTTCTTTTGCCACAGCAACGAGCCACAAATTGACTGAAAAATTCAAAATTATGATTTAATATCTTAAGTTGCTTCAGTGGATTTATCTAAATTTTGGTGCCATGAAGCCGCATGAGATATTTATTTATTTTATTTTGCATGCTTGATCTTAATTAATTTTACGCATCTAATGTGTATTTTTTGAGCTACATATTTTTTATCATAACTACATAACTACAGCATTACAAAGAATATTATAATCTAGCTATGTTGCTACTTTTGTATTGTTGTTAGAAGTGATAGCGCAAATAGTGGAGTTTCTCTTAGTTATGGGGTAATTTTACAAGTCTTTTAATTTAAAAACTATAAAACTCAACAAATTTATCGAATTCTGAAATTTGAAGTCAATTTTGAAAGTTATAAAATAAATTTGATAATAGAATATATACTAGTTCATAAATAATATTTAATGTTTTATTTGTATGCTCCAGATAGTCTTGAAGAATTGACTTCCAGGCTACAGGGGCCCCCAGGGCTACCTGGGCGTGGTAAAACTGGACGCTCGGGTCCTCCAGGTCCACAAGGAGCTCCAGGTATATAACAGATTGAAATTTGTTTGTAATTGTGGTTTAAAAATATAAATTATTTAAAAACAAAGTAACTACCTGGAATTACCTGCAAAACAAGATTAACCTGCACGTGATAGGCAGAGAAAATATCATACCATGAAGATTCAGGAACATGAAAACTAAAGAATGAAAAGACTGATTTTATTTACTTACCTCAGAAATTGATGTTGTGATGAATAGAAATCGAAGACGAATTGAAATGTATTCACTAAATTAACATGATTGTGAAATTTTTTATTAACATGCTTAAAAGATGATGATATCTTTCAGTCTTGTTAAAGAATTTGTAAACAAAGTATTTTTTTTTCATTTGCTATACAACCCATAAACCTTAGATCGTACCTTACATATGGTATAGTAGAATAATAGTTTGGTGTCCTCTTTTTTTTTAAATTAGGTAAATACTATTTATAAGAAAAATTTGGATTTTTGTTGAAATAAAATTTAAAGAATATTGTTATTGCATACGGATCAAATCTCTTTGAAAATATTTCTCTCATTCAAAAGCAAATAAGGAAATCAATAACATATTTGCATGTGTTTTAAACACTTCCGTACCTTCAATTGCTTGTAAAGAAGAAATAAGCGCCTAATAGATTGCTATACTTTTTGGCTTAATATGCTTCCTATTGATTGTTAGTAGCTGATTGTCTTCTTAAAAAAGTTTATTTGATTCATGATAGATGTTCTTTTCTTGATAGATGTTCCATTTCTTATGTTTTTTTTTTGATAGTTGGTCTATATTTCACAGTTGTTATATTCTTGATTGGCGGTTATTTTTACTGTCTCAAAGATGTCACACAACTGAAACATTACAAATTGGAAGAAAAATTTTTTTTAATGAAGATTATTGCTTCAGTAGGGATTTACAAATTGTATAAATGGAAAAAATATCATAATATCAAAAATATCAAAGAAATCACATCACTTTATGAGTTTAGAATTCATCATATGATATTCTACATATCTTATACTTAATCCTTTCCTAAAATGCCTATGATAAAAAATGGCTAGTTATTAAAACAGAATAATTTTTAAACCTATATCATATCCAGGATATAATATTTCAAGAACACTAAGGCATTAACACTAACAAGATTCAAGATTACTATTGAAATTGCATGGTTAAAATTATTCTGAATTCTTTGCATTTTCATTGTTACTTTCTTGGCTACATCTATTTCGAATCAATTATTATATACGACAAGGTATCTGTTTCGTAGCACCCACTGTATTCTATTCTATAAAGAAGAACAATAAGTGAAATTCAAAATAAAGAATAAAAGAAAATGCTGTATTAAATATCTCTTCAGCCACGGAAGAACAACCGTTGTTGTCTCTCCATTTGCCGCGGAACATCATTGTTTACCCAAATGTGCATCAGGTTTGGTACCCTTTAAACTCCAAACTGTGGATAGGAAATAGTCTTGGATGCACACTTCCTACCGTGCCTCGCACTATTTAGAAACTATGTTTCTGGCTGGTACTGGATGTCAAGGGACTTGATGTTAACGTTCAGTCTAAACTTTACAGTTTAATTTCGCAATGAATTGAAGAAATTTTCTCAGATTTTTTTCTGAATCAATTACTAATTTACCTAGTTTTCGAGATATTGATCAGAGCGGATAACTCAATCTTGTAGAAAAATAGTGAAATCCAAAAATGAAATGGAAAAAAATGCTATATTAAATATGTCAACAGCTCCAACAAGAACAACAGTTGTTGCCTTTCGAACTGCCACCAAACATAACTGTTTATTCAAACATTCATCAGGTTTGGTACACTTTAAACTTCAAATTGTGGAAAGAAAATAGTCCTGGATGCACAACACATACTAATGAACCTCGAACCATCCAGAAACCATGTTTCTTGTAGGTACTGGATGACAAGGGACAACCAGTCTAAGTTTTACAGTTGAACTTCATAATAAATTGAAGAAATTTTCTTAAATTTTTTTCTGAACCAAAAGTTACACTTGTTTTCGAAATACTGATCCCACCGGTTGACTCAATCTTGAAGATGCTGTATTTCAAAATATTTAAATAACTTAAGCTCAAATACACTGTCTTATAATAAGATATTTATGACGAATTCTTCATGGATGGAATTTTCTCTGCCAAGCAGTGCTTTGTGAACTCCGAGGACCCGAGGATAGATTAGTTTTTAAGGTTATTAATGATCGAGTTTTTCTACTTCTACACAGACCAGATGGAAGAATTAGTTCGAGGACTCCATGGCCCCCCTGGACAACCTGGGGTTGGTCTGCCAGGAAAACAAGGTTCACCAGGCAAGCCAGGAATTCCAGGTAGTTTCCTCATTATGCTCTCCTTATAAGTGCAATAATTTTTTTAAACCTTAAGCTTGCTTTCTAACACATTTGCTTTGAAATAATGATCTCAATGCAATAAAGCAATTTCTTTTAAAAAAGTATGGTAAAATTAACATTTCTATTTAATTTTGTTATAAATTTAGGTGATCCAGGTGTGCCTGGCCTACCTGGAGAAAGAGGATTTATGGGCATGCCTGGTGTTCCAGGCCCGCATGGTCCACCAGGAAGCAAAGGTTTGCTATCACATATGTCTTTGATAAAAAATATATCAGATAATATACAACTGCATTGAAATTGTTTTTGTTTGTTTTCATTTCAACTAGTTTTATTTTTTTAAATTTATTACATTTCTGTCATTGGCTGATTAAGTTCGTAAAATATATCACCTACAGTTTAATTTCATTTATTTTGAGGATAATTCTAAATAATATGAAAATAAAAAGAAGTAATAATAAAACCTGAAACACTAAACTACTAAATCAAAATTTATCCAACGGAATAGTTTATGGAGATTTCGTAGAGGAACTGATTGCTTTGATTTTGAACGGGAAAGCAAACTAGACACTTTTCTAAAGACTAGGCAGTTTTGGAGTTCTGTCCTTCTCGCAATTTCATACTCATTAGAAAAAGCTGGAAGTGTATGAACATGAAGCTCACAATATGGCAACATTTCAAATGATCGTAATATTCTAGTTACTTGCGCAATATCTACAATTTGTCGGCAAACTTTTATTTTGGACATAAAAATTAAAATACACGTTTAAAAAAATAAACATAATTGTGATACGTCACTAGGGATCTAGTGAAAATGGACTTAGCTCTAAGTTGCTATTGAAGAAATCGAGCCTAGTTTAAAATGCGTATTTGAGAAGAAAAAAAATGAGATTGTTAAAAATGCGTGTTTAAGAAAATGGACAGCGCTTGATATGAGCTTTTGAAAAAACAAACCTAACTCAGAATGAATATTTAAATAAATGAGCATGCACTTTTATTCTTTTTTTTTATCTACTGTTACGACTATTGTTTTTGAAACAATTACACCGGAAATCCAAACATAATGAGTAAAATCAGCAGTTGACAGTTATTCAACAAAATTTGAAGATCAAAAAATTCTTTCATGCAGCTTTACTCTGTTATTTTAGGAGTTACACTTGTGTTTAAAGGTTAGATATATCATTTAACATTCAAAATACGTATTTTGTGCTATATCCATTTTTTAAAACGCACACAACTTTCTTAAACCACGTTACTCTTTTTTTAATAGTTACATTGTTGCTCATATGTTAGATATATCGTTTAACATTACAAATACGTATTTGTGCTATATCCGTTTCATTAAACACACATTTTGAACTATGTTCAAAATGTGGTAAAAAAAAAATAACCTTATCACTTTATTCGAGAAAGTTAAAGCTCTTCTCTGCAACCCGTCATCCTCACACACTATAATTTGTCTACGGTAAGAGCTCCCCCCAGCACAAAGTTTGAGGTCTTCTGCTGCCATGGAAACAAAAATAGCTCATTTCAGGGAGTTACACTCTTCACAAGATTCCATTTTTCTCACTGACTCGAGCCAAACCTGTCCTAAGCAATAACCCCACACCCCTACTTCAAATAGTTAAACCTCGTTACCATGGTCACCGCCACGGGTCCAGACGAATAGCAAGAGGAGTTCTTACTTTAGGCAAACTATATTCATTCCTTGTGTTCGTTATTATGTTGTGTCATGTCTTGTGTGAGTTAATGCGTTAAGTCAGATGACATTTACGTGTGTACTATGATTGAGTTGATAATATGTGTCAAAAACTATTTTGTCAAGTTTTTCTGCTTTTTTAAGCATTTTTCAAAAGCTAAGAGAAAATACTTTCATATGCAAAATATAAAATATATAACTGATATGCATATTAATTTGAGTGCTGATATTTTAGGCGATAAGGGTGAAAAAGGTGATCGAGGACCTGAAGGCGTAGGTGTCGAAGGACCAATGGGTCTTAGAGGTGTTCCAGGTAAAATATGCTTAAACCTTTTCTTTTTTAAAATTAATGGAACGATTTTAAACATTTTAATATATCTTGATCATGAAAATAAATCATTTTTGCACAGAAATTATTATACATGGCCAAAAACAAACCACTTGGAAAATTTAGAAACGAACTTATAAAATAGAAGTCTAAAACTAATTTTACGTAAATAATAATTTCTAATAACCCAATAACCAATGATATCACCTAATAACCTAAAGTAGATGTAATTTAAAGTTAGTTTAAAATTTATGAAATGCACTTTTTAATTAAAATTGAGTAATGAGAGATCATAGCGAACCAGTAAAATTGAGATTAAAATACTTTTTTTACTTACTCTACCATGAAAATAGCAATTTGCGTGTATTTTTTACGTTGATTGTGAGTAACTCAATTAAATTCAAAGCATATTTTATTTGCATAAAAAATTAAGTTAAAGAAATAAAATGTAAAAATAAAATTTAAAAATAACATTAAAATAACATTAAATTTAAAAATACATATTAAAATTTTAAAAAAAATATATTAAAAAAATAATATTTGAAGAAATATAATATTATAAAATAAGAAAAATATTAAAAAAATATTATGTCAAAATTATGTCAATATTATGTCAAAAGAAATATAATATTACTATTATCATAAAATTTAAAAAATAGTCTCTCTTCAACGTGGAAAAAATTGTACGTACATTTCCTTATTTATTTGTAAGCTAAATAAGCTCAAAGCATATTTTATTTTTATCAAAAACAAGTATAAAAATTAATTATTAGAAATAAAATTAAAATTAATAAAATAAAAAATTACTGAAATTAAAATAGAATTTCAAATTAAATATAATCGAAATTGTTTTGTTCTGTATTTTTTAATGTTGTTATTTTTAAAATAATTTACTTTCAATGTAAACGAAATTTTTATCGTAATCTAAAAAATATTGAATTGTCTTTGGAGAATGAGTTATAAAATATTAGTAAATTCAACATCAAAGTGTTGAACAAAATATAAAACTACACGTTGTTATTTTTGCTTCATTAAGCAGATTTTATTGTTAACAGCTTAAAATAAGGTTAATAAACCATTCAAAAATAATTTTTTCGCTTTTCTTCAAGTTATAATGTTAGAAACCAGAAATCACTTCTACGATAGATTTTCTTAAGAGCAATTCGGAAAAATATGTATCTCATACTTATATTAAAATTTAGATCATTTTTAGAGTACAAGTAAACTATTCAGAACTTGTATCCTATTAGGGACTTTCACCCATAATGCAATAAAAAATGCAAAAATTAGTTAAATAATTAATTTAATCTGTCACTTCCTTTATGAAACAAGTTGTGATAGCAAATAAGATATTTCTGACTGTGACTTTAACATGAAATATCATATAGTTGATAGGTTGTTAAGAAACTTTAATTGAAGAATGAGATAAAAGGGCTTATTTTATTATGCATGTGAACTTCATGCTGAATTTTTGTTAAAGTTGCTGTCATTTAATTAATTTTTATATTGAAAACTCATGCACTTATTATTTTGAAAAATAGACTTCGATGCCTTGGTTAATTTTGAGTTCTCTTATAGTATTTAAAAGTTTTTATCTAAAAAAAAAAAGTTTGATATGATAATGGATTTAGCATTAAGTGATGTTGACACTCAGTACTGGGGGCTCAAGGTACAGTACTGTAAAATCTATATTTACCGGAACATGTTACGGAGCAAAAAATTTGATGTATCGCAAATTTTACAATAGTAATTACAGCAAAATCACTGAATCACTCTAATTAAATAGATGTTACTGCAAAAATTACGGCATAATATTTTACTGTAAAATTGATTTTTCGGAAGATGTGCACCTGAAGTGCCATTACTTCATTCCGTAATTTCATCCGTACTTTTTTTAAATAAATTAATTCATAAAACATAAAATGAAAATAATGAACTTTTGCTGGAAATGAAATTAAGCTGTTTTATGTCTAAATTATTGTCATTTAATTGGCTTATCGACTAATGATTCATACATTCGTTACTATTCAAATTGGACTTACAGTTTATTCTGAATTCTAAGCTATAGTTTTGTTTCAATGAAGATCACTCTCCGCGGGAACTTGTTATGAAATGACATTAAGTTGTTATATAGTAAATTACCCCAAGTTATTATTATTGGAAATAGAGTTAAATAGATTTGTTACATTATGGCTGTAACTTCTATATTCTGAAATTAGATTAAACATACTCTTGTCGATTTAAATTCTTGTTTAATCATTTAAATTCAATTTTATTATTATTATCCAATATAGATGTCGATGAATTCGGTAATTCCTAATACTAGCCTTAGTTTTAATCTTGTTCAAGTGAATTACGAACCATTAATTTAAAATTAGTTCTAAATATTTAACTCCTTCAGAACCATGATTTCAATTCGGTATTTGCGTATTATACTTCGTATTCGTTCGTAAACGTACTCCGTAGTACGTTTACTCTCGGAACATGCTGGCTTTTAGAAGCACTACTATCTCCTTCCACCGGTGATGAAGGGGTTTAAAATAAGGGTAATTAAAAATTGTAAACTATGTTTGAAAAAAGTACTTTGTGTTATACTGGATTCTTGTCTTTTGATAGGTCCACCAGGACCACCTGGTACAGGAGTACCTGGCAGACCTGGAGATCGAGGTCCACCAGGTCGTCAAGGTACTAGCGGAGTAAGAGGAGCTCCAGGACCACAAGGCCCTCCAGGATACTGTGAGCTTTGTAATTATCAGAATTCAGATCTCGCAAACTTTCTGCACCCACCTCATTCTCAAGTTGATAAGGGTAATACAGAAAACGACTGATTTTTCAAGTCTTTCGCTAAGTCAATCACTGCCAATTATATGGAATTACGGACTAAGGAAAAAGTGAGAAAAAACTGAGTTTAGTACTCGTTTTTTTATCTGCTCTAATTTATTCCGTCTGGAGTATTGCAATTAAAAATAGCACATATTCCTGGTGTGCACTTCCTAATTTATCAAATGATGCAGTCTAGAATAAGAGTCATAAGAGCCGTCTTCAAAGAATGCTGTTCGTAAAAAGAATGTAGCTATATGGAACGATTTGAACTCAAAAGTTTAAAATGTTGTTAAACGGCTCAAATGAATCCGTTCTTTGGTTGCATCCAAAATATAACTTTATCATCGATTTTTAAAGATTTAATTTTTTTTTTCACATTCATCTATGAAAGTGTGAATATAGTTTAAAATATTTTAAGAATAGTATTAGAGTTTGAATTACTTTAACAGTTGTTTGAAAAATTATGAATAAAATCAATCTATAATATTTTCAAACTTTTTTTAAATCGACGATTTATTTTTTGAATTGTTTTTTAGCATAAAGTTTATAAAGCATTTATGTCCAATTTTGCACAATACTCAATCAAAATTTTATATGTCATGTGAAAATAATGCTACTGAATATATATATATNATTAATATATATATATATATCAGTAGTAAATAGTGCTGGGTGATATCTGTATTTTGACATCCATCATAATTTGTCTTCGTGAAGTATCGATATTTCTCTATGTATCATCGTAATCTTTCTGAGCTCTTACATTAGTTAATATTTTCATTAAACAAATGAAATTTATCAATCCTCACGTTAATTTCTTATTCACTAAATATAGTTATTACTAATATTCGTATTGTTATTGTGCTCGAAAAATATCAATGTGGATAATTACAGATATTCACAATATGTAGTAAGAATACCTTTGAAGTATTGTTAAAAATATCAGTATTTATATATATATTTCTTAAATTTAGTGTTTATAACTAAATAATCTGAAATCTAAAGCACATTATTGTGAAATGAAATTTTTTAAATTATGATTTTTTATAAAATTTTTTTGTTGAAAGAAAATTTTGTTTCTTTCGTTTTTTGTTTAAAAATTTTATAATAAAAATTTATAACTTTATTAAGATTTTATAATCAAATTTTATTAATTAAGACACAAACTTTTTGAAAAGAGGTTTGAAATTTTAATACTGTGATTAAAAATTTAATTTTTCGTAAAGTATCGCAAAAGAATAAAATATTAATTTTTCTGAAACATACATTCAACTTCAGATTTTAGATTCTTATTCATTTATTAACCTACGTTTTAATTTAAATTTTAAAAGAATTAAAAAAGAAAATAAATATCTATTTTTTTTAAATACAGCATTCATACTTTTATTGTTTTCGGTACAGCATTCAAACTTTTTATTGACTAGTTTCAGTATTTTTAAAAATAACCTAAAACAATTTACTTTAACTCTCGGTTAATTTTGATTTATTATTATTAGTATTAATATTATTAGTATTAATGTTATTTAAGTAATGGCACTTTAGAAGAGATTCTTTTTTCCTTGTGAGTTCTTCGATTCTATTAAAAATCAAATATCGCAATTTTTTCTCCAGACATTTTGTATTATGAATTTGATTGCGCATAATGAATTTTTTAGTTAAAAACACTTTGAGAGTCATTTTTTCTGAAATTCTCAGATGCATAAACATATTTTTTACCCGGTGAATAAAGATGTAAGACCACGTCTTGATGTGATTATGCGGTGCTTTTATATTATTCCTTAATTTTTTTATCGCCATAATGCTTTCTTTGTGATATGTTAGTTATAACTGCCTTTTCTATATTTTGCTCAAATATAAACACTGCCATTAACTTCAAATAAAATATTTAAATATTTTTTTCCAAATTTTCTGCTAAAACAAAATCAACTTGTCTTGAACTAATTCTATGACTTACATTTTATTGAAAGTATAAATGTCAAATTGAATAGCAAAAGTCCTGATTGCTATAGATATAAACATGTATTTTTAATAAAAATTTTAGCAAAATTTATTTTAAGTGTTGTCCTTATTAACTATTTTGTTAGTATAAACATGTTTCATTGTCAATTTTCTTATTGATGATATTCTTCAGTATAAAAAATAGTGTACACAGTAAACAATTCCGGATCAAAAAAGGTGAAAAGTACTGGCACCCTGGGTGCCCTTACTTTTTATTATAATTCAATCCGGAATTTTTAACAGTGTATTTTGGATTGTTTTCGATATCATATTTGTGAAATTCATTTCATTTTCACTTAAAAAAATGTTTGATGTATGATAGAAATAAAATTGATTATGACAAGAAATGTGTGATTTATTTATGTTTTTGTTTGTTGTAGCGTGACATTTGTTTAAATTATCGACTATTCTTTCTATTCTATTTCGAGTAAGCCAAACCCTTAGCCAAATTCTGTTAAGTGGCCCATTCTATATTCTTTCGCAAAGATTCCAATTCTTTCACTATTTATTTCTTACTAAACGCAAGGGGAACATGAAGTCATGTAAATCATAAGTAATCTAATTATGTATGGAAGTTTCCAGATGCATGAAACAAAAATATATCATAAGCAAATAATAAATTTCAGGCGTATATATAGAAAGATTTGTATTCGGTGTGCGATACGGTGTTGTATTTAATTAACTTCATGCTAGTTAACATTTAAGCTCATGTGGAGAAACGTAGCTCGACTTTAATTTTGTTTCTAAACATCAACTGGCGCTGAGGTCTTAGGTCACATGTCTGATTATCACTGATAGTCTTTTTCTCTAGTTGCAAGTACCCAATTGTAGTTCTTGATCTTTTCTTACAATTTACCACTGTAAAAATACATTTAAATGGAAAAATAATAACATGCATACTTCAATGTATCTATTTTCAACCCTATGTTTTCGTTTAATTTCTTGAAAGAAAAGAAATCATCACAATTCAATTTAATTGAAATTTTGTGACTTTTGTTATTCTTCCAATAGGTGGCACCACCACGACGCATTAACACTCATTTAGTAATAACCAGGCTCTAAGGTGCCATTATAAAATAACAATTGTTACCAAATTTTACCTCATTTACAACAAAACTTATAGTAAAAAGAAAAAAAAAAAAAAAAAAAAACATTTCTGAGGCAAAAAAAAAAACCTATATATATTATTGATAATTTTACCAAAATAATTACCAAAGCGCTTCGGTAAAAATTTGCCAAGATTTTGATGTTCCCATAGAGCTGCCATTGTATTACAGGAAGTTTTGATCAAACTTTAAGAAAAGAAATAAAAACGATATAGAAATCTATTTTAAGATTAGTTAGGATGGCGGGATGAAAGACATCAAAACAAGCTTGGTGATTTTATTTAACTTGGATGCGTTTCTATAAATGTTTTTTAAATTGTCCATTCCCTCCGGCAATCAAACAGGTTTTGAAGATGGCATTTTTGTTTGTTTCTTCCTTAAATATTAATTTGCGAACGTAATAAATTTATATTTTTAGCTTTAATTTGGATAAGCGTTTGAAAAATATTTATTTAGGGTGGTTACTGCGGAACACATAATATTCATGAAGAGTCACTAGAGATAGTAATACGAGATATTATTATCTATCCTTATAATTATTGCTTTATCGTTAGAACTGTGGTTTCTTTTTTCGTGATTCCTCATTGAGCTAAATCTACTGTGAGAAATTTTTTTTAATCAAAACTACCTAAACTACCAGAATATAGTGTTGTTTTGGATCTATTTGAACATCAAAAGGCTCGATAATTTTTATCAAAGGGCTTTAGTAATTATTTCGGTAAAAATAGCATTGAAATATGGTTTTATAACCTGTGATAAAATTTGGTAATTTCATTATTTTACTTTCGAGTGGAGCCTCAAGGGTGTTTACTACGGAACACATAATATTCATGAAGAGTCACTAGAGATAGTAATACGAGATATTATTATCTATCCTTATAATTATTGGTTTATCGGCAGAACTGTGGTTCCTTTTTTCGTGATTCTTCAATGAGCTAAATCTACTGTGAGAAATTTTTTTTTTAATCAAAACTACATAAACTACCAGAATATTGTTTTGGCTCTATTTGAACATCAAAAGGCTCGATAATTTTTATCAAAGGGCTTTAGTAATGATTTCGGTAAAAATAACATTGAAATATGGTTTTATAACCTGTGATAAAATTTGGTAATTTTTTTATTTTACTTTAGAGTGGAGCCTAAAGCCTATTTATTCTTTTAAATCTATTTTTCAGTTCTGTATTTTTTACTATATGTGCAGTAATAAAAACTATAATTTTAGAAACCTAAATTTCTTTCAAACCGTTACCATATCAACAGAAAAATTACCAAATCGTTATAAATATAGTCTATTTTGGAGTTTATTTCCAGAATTATGTTTTTTATTTATTTAATTAGGAGAGTTATTATTGGGATACTTATTATTTGGAATTACTTTTCTTTTAAAATCAGAAATGCCATCACTATACAGTACTGTAATTTTGCTAGAAATTTTTCTTAGTGCATTATTAACTGTAATTTATAACCGTTGTTGTTCTTGTCATGCTACGCATGCAGTGCTAGTGCAAAGATTAGAGTCCTCCAAAAGTCTTTATAACAAGATTGTAATTTATAACTAAAATAATTAAAAACAAAAGTTTAAAAAAGAATCCGCAAAAATGAAAAGTATTGGAACTAAACTATAACTAACTGAAGAGTCGCTGTAACTAAATTTTAATTGAACGAACTTATTAAAAGTAATCGGACATAGAAACAGTGAGAACAATTAAAAATACAAATGATAAAAAAAACTTAAACGCTTAACTTTTTTATTCTTATTCACATTTTGGTCATAAATATTAAATGCTGAATGCATACTCATTTAAGATTTTAAGTATGATTAAATCATGATATTTAATCTTTATCATAACTATTAGTTAGCCGTTGAGTAATTTCTAAAATTTGTATAAGAGTTTAGCATTGAAATATTTTAAGTACATAACTTTTAAGTCCGAAATATAAACTGTATAATGATTGTTATCTTATGGTATCATATGGCATATGTTTTATGTTTTTTAACTTAACACTAGTTAATCATGATCTAGATGAACATTTAGGGAGAAATTTTATCTGCACATTCTGCAAAAATCGGAAAATATTTAACTTTCAGTGTAGAATATTTTAACCTCAACCCAATAAAATTTTATGTCCATACGACAAGACATCTCGTCATTAGTGTACAACGAAAATATGTCGTTCGCTTTAGTGAAAATTGAAAAACACTGTTTTAATGTTTCTTAAACCAAAAAGTTTCGATTCACAACTCATTTTGGCCTTTCCTGAAACTTTTTATGTTTTTGAGATTGCTGGTTTTGCAGCATTGCAACACAAAATTACAATATACAAATCTGTATAAAAGAAACTCATTTTTATTCAATAAAAACTTATAAAAAAGCATATTTAAACCCAACTCCGTAATGAATCATAGTCATTTTCGGATAAAGTCCATGGAATAAATACGCATATAGTCAACAATAAATGAACTCCAAAATCAACAAAATGCTCACGATGTGTACAAAATATAACAGGCTGAATAAAATGAAACCATATTGTGATGAATGTAGAAAGAAATCTCTGGATGTTTTCTTCTCGCTCCCACCATAAGCACTGCTGCCCTCCTGTAACAAAAAAGTAAACTAAATTAGAAACTTAGAGGTAGAATTAGCTCATTTGACATATTTACATTATCAATTGAAGCCCTCACAACGACAGGTCTCATTTTATTTGATATCTACGTTTGTCAAAAGAATAAAATTAATTTTGCTTAACTTCTGACTTCAGACAAATTTTGAAGGTTGAATATGAATTCTGATTCATTTCATACTTCACTTGAAATATAGATGGCAGTAGTGTAGTGTTAAAATACATAAATCTTAAAATTCGTCTAGCATCACAAATGTTCATTATAATGTTTCTGTAAGAATACGTTTATACTATTTTTCTTTCTTTTTCTTTCACTTTGTTTCTCTATTCTTAAAAATTTATTTTGTCTAACTTATAAACGACTTTCTATGCTATCTATTTAATATAACAACTTTCGTGTAGCGTAATTATTTTGTCGGTGTTTATTTATAAAAATTACTTTAAATGAGAAATTTAAATTTTTAATTTACTTATTTATTTATTTTTTTAATTTATGACAGCCATTCACACCAGATGAATTTCAATTAAATTCGATTGTACGCTCACAACAGCAGTATAATAGTTTCCTTTTCTGAGAAACCCTGAAAGAACTTAAAAAAATAAAATAAAATAAATAAAAAAATTAGAAAAAAAAAGTTTTTTAATATATAGCAGATCATATAGCATTTTCAATTTATGAATTTTCTCTGTACTCATGCTTAAACAATTTAGAAAAAGTACAAAGAATAAAACGTAAACAAAAACACTTCGAAAATAATAACTATAAAACTATTTTAACGAACAGAGCTGAAACTAACACTTTCTCTACTAGATGGCAGCAGTAGAAAAAATACTCATTTTATTACCGACCACTAACTACTGGTAAAGCCTTCTTAACTGGTTAAAAACCTTGACCCGCGTTTATATGAAAGGAGTTGAATATTTAATGTTTGTTGATACATCAGCGAAAGTCAGCCATCCGTTCAGCTGGATTATGGGTCTATAAAATTTGTATTCATTCATGGTAAAGAAAGTAAACGAATAGCTTTTATGAATAGAATAGTGTTTCAATAAAATGTTTACGTTAAAGATCATTAATTAAATAGGAACCTTTTTTTTTCTGTTTATTGAATTGGAACATTTGGCTCGTTTTTCCCTATAGTTGAGATCTAATTTTATTTTAAAGATATTTGTTTATAGATTGATTTGTTTTATGGGAAATAGAATTTATTGAATAATATAAGGATAAATGATAATAATAAATAATAATAATAAATGAATAAATAAATAATAATAATAATAATAAATAAAATAATAATAATAATAATAATAAATAAATAAAATAATAATAATAAGTAAATAAATAAAATAATAATAATAAGTAAATAAATAATGATGGCGCATAGTTTCCTTCAGATATAGTTATAGTATCCCCAAAAATATCTTAATTGCATACTTTTATTCGAAACCTGCTTTTATTTTCCAATACTTTTACTTTCTAACACAGAAACAAATACTTTGGATTTAGGACCTTAATTCAGATCTAAAAATTCCTCATCAAATTGAAAAAAAAAGAAAAAAAATCGCTCTTTAAAGAAGCCCATTTTTAAATTAAAAAAAAGAAAAAATATGAAGTATTTTTACCTTAAATTTTTTATTTTATATGAGAGCATTGAAAAATTGTTAAAAATAATGCTAATACGTTAGGGAATATGGTGGGAATGTTTAGGGGGGGATGGAGATAATATTAGGAGTTTGGAAGTCATTTCCCGAAAGATTGGCGTTTTAAAATTTTTTTAGGCTTCACCTGATCCTCGTAATATTATTTATTTACTTATTTACTTTTTTATGGAAAGGAGTAAAACAATAAGAAATTGCAAAAATGCTGTTTCAAAATTATAAAGTTTACCATTATCGATTGACAATATAATTTTTTGCGAAACTTTAATTATACAAGCAGTATTATTTATAAAAGTAAGGGCAAGCTTCAGATGCTGTCAGATTTAAAAATAAATTATTAAAATTAGATCTTCTAAGTATTTCGTGTCTCAAAACTCTTGAAATTTAGTTTATAGTCTTAATATAATTTTTCTCCTCCATTTTTAAGGTCATTCAAACTGAATTTTAAAGGAATCAACAAAACCAGGCTGTCTAGAAAAGAGCTTGTTTCTCCATCAAAATTTATTTATCTACAACAAAATATTTTGTTATGGAGCTTAATGCTCTGCAAAGTATATTAACTGAAAAGTACTTGGAATTATTTGCTAGTCAAGTTTTCATTTGTTGTGAAATAAAATCATGAAAGTATTATTTATCCCCCAACGAAGACATTTTAAATTGGATATAATTTTTTTTTATTATTATACGACTCTATTGTCTATATCTTTAATAATACGGCCTCAGGTTTGATAAATTATTCAGCTTCATACGTTTTGCCAATGCATTTTTTTTTTTTGGAACATAGTATTTTTATGAAGAAAAAAAACTTTTTCAAAGAGAGAAAGAGAGGCATATAGAATGATAAATGCTTTAAAAGTCAGACTTTATTAATTATTTAATCAATTACAAATAGTATAAATCATTAGAAAACGTCTAACGGAACTTACACTAGTAATGCATTCGTTGCTTATCAATAAACTGATAAGGGAATAAATTTTTTTTAAAAAAACTTAATATTGTATGAATTAAGAAACCACAAATATGAAAAAAATCTGCTCCATTGCATCATGAAACGTTTTCTAAAACTTGCCAAATTTTGCATTTATTCACTTTAAATGTATTTGCGATTTCCTGTGCAAATATTAGAACTGTATAAAAATGAAATCTAAAATATGTCTAAGCAAAATTTGAGATCGGATTTTTGAAAATTCCTTATTGATGTCCTCTATGAGTCTTAAACTAAGGAAGTTCAACTATCACAAGGCCAAAATATTTAAGAACATCATTAACATGCTCATATTTAGGTAACAGGTCACAAACCGGTTGGTGTAACAACATAGAATGATTAGAAAATTGTACCAACATTAACTCGCCAACATGATATTATCATCTTCAATGCCCATTGCGATTAAGAAATAATCTTACTACGCTAGAAATTTAGTGACGAGAACTTGTTTTCTTATCTTTGATGTGTCTTGTTTCGGCGAATAAAAATGAAATAAAATAAAAATAAATTAACAATACAATATGATAAAATGATATTCCGGATGTCTGTGTTCCATCTTTTAACACGCTTTTATTTTCCGTCATGCCTTCCTGCCCCTGAAGAAGAAGATATAAATCTGAATAACATTCCTAGTATTCTACAACCATTGAGAAAATAATCGTCATACCGTTTGCCGGTTTCTATTCGCGGCGGCGCTTTATATTATATCAATTTTATTTGAAGTTTCTGTCTATGTGCGGTAAACTTTCTTTATATTTCAAAATGGCATTTTACAGGATTATCATACAATCGATGTTTAGAAAAAATAACATAAATAAGCCTATTTGATACTTAGCTTATTGAGGAGGAGGCAATAAACAAGAAAAGAAAATGCTCGAGATGCTTATTGATTTTTGTTATTATTATTATTAATAATAATATTTATTTATTTGTTTGTATTATTATTCGGTTTGCAAAAAAGCAAAGCAAGTATAACATTTAATAAACATTAATTTCGCCATCACTTTTTATTCCATTCTTTCCTTAATTATTGAATTGATATAGGCAGGTATAGAATTATTGATTCAAATTAAATTGTTCGATTGCAAAAGTACATTAAAGCAAATAGTGATAAGTATCTTTTATACTTTTTGGCGGTATCTACTTGAGGCGGCGCTTTAGTTTATGTAAATTTTATTTTAAATTTCTGTATATGTACGGTAAACTTTCTTTATATTTCAAAATGGCACTTTACTAGATCATCATACAATCAATGTTTAGGAAAAATAACATAAATAAGCCTATTTGATACTTAGCTTATTGAGGAGGAGGCAATAAACAAGAAAAAAAATGCTCGAGATGCTTATTGATTTTTGTTATTATTATTACTAATAATAATATTTATTTATTTATTTGTATTATTATTCGGTTTGCAAAAAAGCAGAGCAAGTATAACATTTAATAAACATTAATTATTAATTAATTTAATAAACATTAATTAACATCACTTTTTATTCTATTTTTTCCTTAGTTATTGAATTGATATAGACAGGTATAGAATTATTGTTTCAAGTTAAATTTTTCGATTGCATAAGTACATTAAAGCAAATAATGATAAGTACCTTCTATACCTTTGGCCGGTATCTGCTTAAGGCGGCGCTTAAGTTTATGTAAACTTTATTTTAAATTTCTGCATATGTGAGGTAAACTTTCTTTCTATTTCAAAATGGCATTTTATAAAATTATCATACAATCTATGATTATTGAGGAGGAGGCAATATACAAAAAAATAAGGCTTCTTGCTTATTAATTTTTTGATTATTATTCTTTGATACTTATTTATTGATTTATTTCTTCTTTGTATTGTTATTTGATTTGTAACAAAGCAAGGCAAGTGCAACATTTAGTAACATTATTTCGCTGTCACTTTTTATTCTATTTTTTCCTCTTAAATATCGATGTAAGCAGATATAGAAATACTATTTCAAACTAAACTTTTCGATTGTAAAAGCAATGTAAAGCAAATATATACATAAATTTTATTTGACGTTTCTCTATAAGTACGGTAAAATTTCTTTGTATTTCAATCAAAATGGCATTTTACAAGATTTCCATACAATCTGTGTTAAGAATAACTGTCATAAATAAGCCTATTTGATACTTTAGCTTATTGAGGAGAAGAAAAGACAATGTACAAAAAAAAAATGTTTCTGGTGTTTATTGAATTTTCTTCGTATTATATTTTGATGCTTATTGTTTTATTTATTTTTATATTGTTATTTTATTTGTTATAAAACAGGACAAGTATAACAATTAGTATTATTAATTTCGCCATCCCTTTTTTATTATATT